CATCCCCCGTCCCCTCCCCTCAGAGCCCCTCCCATTCCTCCCCTCTGCTACCCACACGCCTCCACCTCTGTGGCTAGATGACTGAAGGAGCCTACTGTTTTCCCTGCGTGCATGACTCATCCTCCTCCCAGCAGCCAGAGTCAGTCTTTAAAAACACAGATCAGATCACATCACATCACTCCCTGCTTAAGAGCTCCCGGGGCTCCTCCCCACCACCCCCCCCTCAACACACAGACTTACAGTAAAACCCTAACCAGGCAAGCAGACCTCTGCCTGCCCCCCTCTTGCCCTCCAGGCATGCTGGCGGCTCCTCTCCAGCTCAAGGCCTTTGCACATGCCATTCCTACTTGCCTCAACTCTTTTCCACCTGCCCTCCGTGTCCCAGCATCCCTTATCTCAGCATAAATGTCCCTCCTTGGCCCACCCTGACCACCCTGACCTGAGTAGGTTTCCTACCTCCATCTCTACATAGCACCCTATTCTCAGTGGAACCCTTTCAAAATTGGTATGTGATTTAATTATTTTGGTTGTCCTATTTAACATTGTAACCGCCAGCTCCTGGAATCCAGTAGAGACTGGAAAGATTGGATAAATGAATACCATGAACACTTGCGCCGCTTTATTAATTCGTCGTGTTTGATCTCCCTGACAACCCAGCCGAGTCAGTGTTCTTCTTACTCCCATTTTACAGATAAAGCACCTAGTCCTGAAGTGACTTGCCCAGGTGCACACAGCTGGTTAACAGTGGAGCCTTAGGATTTGAACCCAGACACTCTGGCTCCAGAGTCCCCAGCCATACCCTCACCCTGAATGAATCAGAGAGTAAGTGAGCAAATGCGTGAGTGAACAGAGAACCAGCAAAGGCAAGACCAAGAGGCTGCTGCAGGAAATGGCAGGAGCTGCTGCCACTCCCCGGTGGGTAGAGGACAACCAGGGCATCAGCAGACGTGGTGAGGTGGCCCCTTGGCCCCAAGTTCAGGCTGCTGAGGAAACTGCCAGAGATTTCCAGAGCTCTCTCCCTGGGAAGGTCAGCACCCCACCCTCCCTCCCACCAGCCACGCAGCCGTTCCACTGCCACCTACATTTTTTTTTGTTGTTTTTGAGACAGAGTCTCGCTCTGTTGCCAGGCGCCAGGCTGGAGTACAGTGTTGCGATCTCAGCTCACTACAACCTCTGCCTCTGGGGTTCAAGCAATTCTCCTGCCTCAGCCTCCCAGGTAGCTGGGACTACAGGCGCACGCCACCACACCTAGCTAATTTTTTTATTTTTAGTAGAGACGGGGTTTCACCATGTGGACCAGGATGGTCTCCATCTCTTGACCTCATGATCTGCCCACCTCGGCCTCCCAAAGTGCTGGGATTACAGGTGTGAGCCACCGTGCCTGGCCTGTCAATTACTTTTAAGCCTCGTTTCCCCTTCCTGCCAGCCACTTGCGGGATCTTTCCCAGCCACCATCCACACCCTCCTGTGCCTTAACCAGGCATCCATCTGCAGCCATTTCCGTGGGACGGCGTTTCAATAATACCACTTCCATCCTCAAAGCTACCCCAGGGTACCTCGACTGGTCATTGTACATAGGCTGACCTGTTTAATCCCTCGAAAAACAAATTGTTTCTGGGTGCAGTGGCTCATGCCTATAATCCCAGCACTTTGGGAGACTGAGGTGGGCAGATGTCTGGAGCTCAGGAGTTCGAGACCAGCCTGGCCAGCATGGCAAAACCCCCTCTACAAAAATAAAATAAAAAATAAATTAGCCAGGCATGGTGGCACACATCTTGGTCCCAGCTACTCAGGAGACTGAGGTGGGAGAATTGCTTGAGCCAAGAGACAGAGGTTGCAGTGAACCGAGATCACACCACTGTACTCCAGCCTGGGCAGCAGAGTAAGACCCTGTTTAAAAAAAAAAAAAAAAAAAGGAAAAGAAAAACAAATCGTTTCCCCAAAATGGGGAGGGGTGGGAGCTACGGTGCATTGTAGACTATTTTGTTTAGACACTTTGAAACAACAGAACGTGGTAGGATATTGGGCAGGATTTTTTCCCCTAAATAGTCTGACACATCTAACAAATCCCTCTTTGCATTCAAGTAGAGTATCAACAGATAAAATCACATGTCAAAGACATTCAACCCAATCAATTTCCCTTCCAACTTTCCTTCAACTCTTGAATCACTCAGACACTGGGCAGCAAGTTAAACCTATGTGTGCATAATCATGACATTCTCAGGTGTGCACAAGCCCAGCATTCTGCTTGTTTGCTCAGCAGACAATCCCTGCATGTGCTTTCCTGCTATGCTAGGCTACAAAGCAGCCTGGCCCGCCAGCCTCCACCCACCAAGACCTGCAGAGGTGAGCAGAGCTGCGAGAGACTTGTGCTTGAATTAACCCGTACCCCACCCCTTCCGTTTCCTGAGCACTTAAAAAACACATGTAAAATATTTAAAATTTCAGAAACACGCAATGCAATGATAGATTCATAATAGATTAACCAAGGATGGGACAACATTGCACACTGGCAATAATAAATTCTTCAGTCAGGTCGGATTAACTTCTTGAAAGAGACCTGAAATGGACTGAAATCAATGTCACCTCCGCCAGCAAATGCAATCCAGTCCCATTTCACCTTTCTCAGCTGTCAGTTCTGATCCATGTGCATTATTTTATGAAGCCAACACAATTTACTGAGCACCTATGGTATGCCAGGGAGTGTTACATGCTGAAATAAAAGCCCAACTATCAAAACAATCATTTCCAACTAATAAAAGACCCCACAATCTGGCCCGTGCTGTCCAGCGTGTGGCTATTAAGCATCCGAAACGTTACTAGTTAGAGAAACTTTTCATTTAATTTTATTTAAATGAAAAACCAATACTCAATTCAATTATTAATAGACTGTTAGCCATGTGCACTGGTTCATACCAGTAATCCCAGCACTTTGGGAGTATTGCTTAAGCCTGGGAGTTTGAGACCAGCTGGGGCAACATGGTGAATCCCGTCTCTATGAAAAATATTTTTTAAAAAAGAAAACTTTCAAATATGTTTGAAATAACTTAGTGCAGTAACTAAACATACTTTCTCAACTCTATTTTAAGACATCTAAAGAGATCAAGTATTTGCAATGAAAATTTAGCATTCAAATTGAAATATGCTCTAAGTATAAAATACATATGGAATGTTGAAGAATGGGAAATATATCATTAATACTTTCTATTTTTTCTAATTATATATAGGATATATTAGGTTACATAAAATATGTTATTTTTTTTTTTTTTTTTTTTTTTTTNAGAGTTCACCCAGTGTATTTTCCCAGGGGTTGACAAACTACCAAATGGGTCCTGAGAGCAAAGATTTTTTTTCTTTTTTACATTTTTAAGTGTGAGTTCTAGGAAAATAAAGATACGTTGCTTTTTCTTTGTTGAGACAAGATCTCACTCTGTCGCCCAGGCTGGAGTGCAGTGGCCTGATCTGGGCTCACTGCAGCCTCGACACCCCCTGGGCTAAAGCTCAGTGAGCCTGGAAGGCAGCGTTTTCTCACTCCGGGCTTCAGATCTGGTCTCCGCAGCTTCCCAATCCCCCTTCCTTGTCTGAGTTTCCAGAGGATGCTGGTGGCGGAAGTGAGAGAGATGAGGATTCACCTGTCATCTCTCGCTCTTCTGCCCCATGAAAAGCAAAACAAAAGGTGGCAGTGAAAAGGCAGGTCAGCAGGCATCCGGCTACAAAAGCACCCCCCCAGGTGCATCTGGGCTGCCCCTCGCTTCACTCTAGACAGAACCAGGAACACGCATCAGTTTTACTTACTCTCCGCAGTCACTGCCACCAGCGGCCAGAACAGGACCAGACCGAGGAGCCCCATGGGGGCCGGCATCACCCCTTGGCCAGCCCTGGGGTCACCAGCCTCAGGCTCCAGAGCAGCTCAGCTAGTCCTAAAAGGAATCTTTTCCGCAAAGAGGAGGGCTCCGCTTCAACCCACTCTCCCAGCCCAGGAGGGGAGAAGGGGAGGTGGGGGGCATTCAGAACAGAGATCCAGCCAATCAGAAGCCTCCAATAAAGTTATTGGCACCCCACCCAACAGAGAGGAGGGGAGGGGGGCTCCTGACCAATGAGGGAAAAAAAGCCTAGGGGAAGAAAAGGAGCTTGACTACTCTTCCAGCCTTGTAAACAGAGATCTCTGGGCAGAAGGCAACACAGCATGGTGATGGTTTCTTACTATTTGCAATATAATTTTATATATATTAACAATACAAAACTGACCATTTTCACCATTTATTTTAAAAGACAGGGTCACTGCCAGGCATGGTGGCTCTTGCTTATAATCCCAGCACTTTGGGAAGTCTTGGGGTAGATCACAAGGTCAGGAGTTCAAGATCAGCCTGAGCAGCACAGTGGAACCCAGTCTCTACTAAACACAAAAATTAGCTGGGCATGGTGGCAGGAGCCTATAATCCCAGCTACTGGGGATGCTGAAGCAGGACAATCACCTGAACCTGGGAAGCAGAGTTTTCAGTGAG